TTTACCAGTCAAAAACTGGATAAAATTTAAGTCTAGTTGGTATCCAATCGCCCCCTTAGGGCGCGATTGGATATCAACTGGGCTTAATTTTTACTCACTTTGGGCTAGTTTTCACTGTTGAACCCGTGATTGGATATCACATAGATGGGTTTTTTCTTGGCCCACAAAAACCAAACAACAGGTTGTATCCGTCAGAATTACATGCTTTCCCCACTCCCAATACACCAACACCTCCTGCAACATTCATTGCAATGCTCCATCTTTTTGACTTTTTTCTTGCAGATTTCAAATCGAACTTAGTTGGACCATATCAACACAAGATTCTCCTCCATAAATTGGGCTTCAATCGCCTCACCGTCTATGGATCTCTCCCCTCCACGAAATCATCCTGCGACCTCACGTGAAGCGGACGCTGAACGAAGACCCGATATCCCTGCTCAAGACACTACCGAAAGCACCGGTAGCGTCTCCGTCACATCTCCGAAAAAGAAGAGACTCCGACCAACAAAGGTAGATCATATCCTCCTTACCATCCATTGATTTGTATTATGGAACAATATCGTTCAAGTTCAAGGCGCATGCTTGAATTATTTTGGTTTGTATGGAAAAATTTGGGACAAAAAGGAAACAGGGCTTTTTTGTAGTTAGGAGATTGTTTTAATTTCGTTATACAAACATTGTTGAAGTTTATGTTATGTTTGATCTTACAACCCTTCGATACAAAATTTGGGGCTATGTAAATAGAGACGACACCCAACAATCTTCGTTGATGGTTATTTCTGCCCTCGTTTTAGTGTGAAAAAAAAATTAGGGTAAGACCTATGGTAAAAAACACGGCACCCAATCGTTTGTTGTTGTCTTCATTGTTGAGGAATTTGTTGTGTAATTCTGTGAATCTCCAATTCCGAGTGTTGCAGTTGTTCTTATGGTACATTTCTTTTTCTTAGTCCGGAATGCAGTTATGATTGGCAGACTATCCATTAGTACAGGTTATTTGTACATGTGCATAGCATACAATTTCCTATTTTGTTTGTTAATTCCCATATTGTAGATGTCATTTTCGGGTGGTATTGGTCCTTCGTCTGAGAGCACTCAAGGAGACGCCAAATGGCCTCCCGAAAATGAAGCCGCTTTTGTGAGTGTTCTGTTGAATGAAGTTCTAATGGGAAACCGTGTAACCGGTAAGTTCACACCGAATCAATGGACGACCATTCTTGC